TTTAGGGAAGAATACTGCTGATAAATCAGGAGCAGAGTACTGAGCCACCAAAAATGGAATCCATGTGTGCAGTCTGCATCAGCCATCTCCTTTCCTCACTGGAATTTTAGGCCTCAGGTGTTCTGCACAACTGAAGGCATCAGTTCAAGTCAGCTCTTGGTGCTCGGACAATGCGGGGATGCTTTTTCCTTGGAGAAATTTATGGCCAGGAGACATTGCCAGTGAAACATAAAATGGTCTCAAGTACATTGAGTATCATATGCACATAACTTATGGAAGAAGGGGGTCTGTGTCCATGTTAAGAAGAGTTTAGATAGAAATATCATTAGAATTATAATTTCTTATCCATAAATGATTTCCCCCCCACCCTTTTTTAAGCTTTGCTGTGGAGCTCCTCTGTGATAAGGTGGAAGCTGCTCTTACAGACATTAATTGGGGCATCTGACATAGCTGAGCACTGGCCGCATTCCTCCAGGGAGAACACGGCTGATCAGGAAGATAGAACACAGTTCAGCTAGACTGATCATAACACACGTCCTTAAATCATTATTTCTGAATGCTTACCTAGGTTGCCACAGCAAATGTGAAGAGCTGGTTTACTTAAGAGTTAGCATCCAATACCTGAGTGATAATGGGAGTAATTCAACTAATTCTTCTAAAAAAGGGAGAGCAATTTCTAAGTTTAATACAGGAAGAAAACTATTTCTTCGTCTTTGAAGGGACAAAGAGCTTTATTGCTTTTATAATAGTGTATTTTATAGCGTTTAAATGTGAAAAGGGCATTTTAAGTGTTGGAAAAAGCAATGTTTCCATTGCATTTTTTTAGTATTGCTTTCATGCAGTTCATAAATGATTTTAACAAGGAGTTAGATATTTGATTTGAAAAATCAAATGATCTTATTATATTCTGAAATTTCAGACTTGCTTATTTTTTCCTCTTACAGTAAATGCTGTGTTTTCAAAATGACAGATATTATAATTTGAAAAAATTAGCTCTTTGTCGACAAGATCTGCGGCTACATATGTGCATCAGCAAGTTGCTTGTCTTGTTTAATAGCACATGATTGATTGTAAACCCCTCCCCAAGCAGGAATATAAAATCATTTGTTTTTCTTTCGTGTACGTCTGAACTGCACAAAATTGATCAGCTTAGTTTAAGCGAGTCACTTCACCCAGTGAGCCGTTTGCATTCTGATATGTGTGTGTGAGTATATAGATGCAAAAATGTATTTTTGCTAGTTAACAGAAATCTAGATCTCTGGTGTCCGGATAGTAGGCAATTTGAATGAGAAACTCTTAACTGCAGGATGTGATAAGAGTTTTGAAAACTAAAGTAGTTTTGAAACAATTTTCCTGTGAGACATCTCAAAGTTAATTGCTGAATTTCAGTGTTTCACATTACAACATACAGCAATAGCTTTGCCTATATCAGGGTTTTTTTAAATTTAAAGATAATAAATGATGACTAATATACACCATCTGGCTGGAAGGGGGTGTGTGGAATTTCTTCCTGAGCAATGGAGTTTCTGCTAAGATGGTTTAGTTAAAATAAGGAAGCAGGAGTGTTGTCTTTTCAGAGAAAAAAAAATTCTAATGATCATGCTGAAACCCAATGGCTAAAGGTAGACTTGGTTTGGTACTGTTATACAGAATGTCAAAAAATAGATATATCTGTTGTATTCAGTATCAAAACAGCTCTCATCAGTCTTTTCCATGTTGACAGAAGTGTCAGTTATACCTTGCAGGAATTGGATCCTACCTCTGCAGAATAAAGAGAAAGGACCCTGCTCTCTGTGGAATGAAGTCAGTCAACAAGCTTCAATTAATTTATTCAGAGATAGAATTAGCTCTGCCTCTCTGTTGAATATAAATTTTCTTTTTAGAGTTCAGTCATTTTTTTTTTAATGGTCCCCTATGTTTTCTGTCAGAATCAAGTATTTGCTTAAAGACCTTTTCAATGTGAACAGAGTAAGAATGTGCAGGTGTGGCTTTACCCATTGTAAAGACAGGTAAAAAAGTAGATAAGTATATATCTCAAACTGTTAAAACAGTTTTCTGTGTATATTCTTACTTAACCTGTTACTGCTTAGTTCATTTTACTGCAAACCTTCCTCTTCAGCCTTTTTGGTAATACTGAAATGGGATGGTAGATTCAGTGGGACATATCTAGGTTTGAGAGGAGAAGATTGATGTCTGTACTGACTGGCAAGAAGCTGCAGAGTGTCTGAGGACTGCCAGTACCTTCTTGAGGGGGAGCAGGTTGTCAACTTTGCAGTTTGTCTTAGAACATCTGTTGGCTGCCCACTTACTAAACAGTCTGTGAGCAAAGCACAGCCTGTACTTTGGATACTGTTATTAGCGACTGGGCCAAATCATTCCTCCTGCCTCTGCAAAAAATGCAAGTCACGATTTTGAAAAAAAAAAAAAAAAAAAAAAAAAAAGGCATGAGAAAAACAATGAAAAAGATGAAAGGAAGAAGAGAGCAATGATGGACTAGAGGAAGAAAGAAAGAAAAAGCATAGTGTGGAAAATAATAGGTTTCCTTGGTTGCAGACATGCAGGCAGATAATAATTTAATAATTTCTGGATTCCTTTATTTGAAGACTTCCTCGGAAATCTGCCTCTTGAATTTTCTCTTTTTCTCTTTTTCTCTTTTTCTCTTTTTCTCTTTTTCTCTTTTTCTCTTTTTCTCTTTTTCTCTTTTTCTCTTTTTCTCTTTTTCTCTTTTTTCTTAAGCATCTATTCCTTGCGAGATTGGTTCAGCTAGCAGCCTATATCTGTGATTCTGTCTTTTAACCATTATGAATGTACATACCTATGGGAAATTCTGGAAACAGGGTATACGGTTGCTTTACCATGGGAAACAATGATGGGTGAAAACTTTTCCATCCTTTCACAGAAGAGATGGAAATTTTGGCAGAATTCAGCCCTGATGTGTAGACATCAGGGCTTTTGATTGTTGCCTGTGTAGTGGATATAGGTAACTGTACTCATACTGTTGGCCATTAGAAGGCAGGGAGATATCCTAGTGAAAGGAACTGGCATTTGTTCCAAAGGAGAGCAGTGGTGGGATGTAACGTGTGCAATGTGTTAGCAGGACACTGGACAGGATGGCCGTGAGGTCGTCTTGGCCCGGAAGGACCTATTCAATCCTATGTTCCTATCATGCGAAACAGTTGTTCAGATTTGCATATATTAAAAATCCTCATCTTTTTTGTTTCACCTTTTCTTTTACTACTGTGATAACTGATATGCATTTCGCCTGCAGCAAATGCCAGCTATAATATTTTTGTGTTTTTTTTATGTTGTCTTAAATTGTTTATCTTTCTGTATTCGAGTCACAGACTTAGTTATATGCGGAGACACAGAAATAGCCCTTCTTGTGGAAGGCATCCATAGTTGTACTTACTTGAATTCCAGCATTTCTACATTTTGTTTCTCAGGATTTGTAGTAACTCGTATTATTATAACCTCCTTGGTCCCCTATAGCCCAAGACCTCTGATGTCTCTCAGTGCACAAGTTGCTCACATTGCTTCTGTTTGTCCCCTTTCCTCCTATTGTCCAGGAGTCATTCCAGTTTGGTGATAAGTTGATAGTTAAATGGAAGGGATGATTTTGAAATTTGGAAAAGGCAGGTGAATGGAACTGAAATGAACAGATGAGATGAGATCCGGGGACCGTGCTTTGCACTAGGGAGAAACAGCATCTCTCATCCAGTTGTCATATGTTGGAGCAAGGGCCTTCGTTGGGAGTACATAGTTTCTTGACAACTTATGCCACTTATTAAATGCACTAATGTGAGATTTGGGTGGGGCGGTAACCAACACCTGACGGCCTTTTCATAAGAAAAGAAACCTCACGTTCCAAATGTGGACATGCACAGGATCTTTCCTGTAAACTGTGAATAGTCAAGGTTCTTAATTTGGTTTTGTCTGATAGTGCAAATGCTGTGTAACAAATCTATAGCAGATACCTAGTTTTGTGTGTTACTTGAGTCTATGATTGTAATTCTCACTGAGCAGTTTAAATTCCAAATAATCAACGTGGTATTTGATTAGTGAAATAGCATCCATGAATTCCTAAACAATTATATATATATAAATATATATACACACACACATATATAAATATACATATTTCTACATATATGCTAAAAGACTGTCTTGCGTAATATTTGCAAAGTAAGTGCTCTAATATGCTCTAATATTTGCATAGCAACAGATAACTAAGCAAAATATTATGCAGGCTGTGAAATGATGATTTCTGAAGGTAAAAAGAAATGCATTAACTGATCTATTTTGATAGCGATGCTTTTTTACAATTTATCAAAATTCAAAAGTGTTATAGAGGAAGCCACAAAAGTACATCATCTAGCTAGCTATGAAAAGAGCTTCTACATATAACTCTAAGATTTGAATATTAGTAAAATAAAGAAACTAAGTGTTTGGAGGAAAAAAAAACGCTGATGCAAATGTGATAAATTATACAAGCTGATGTTGCTATCTTGCACCTTCAACTGTACTAGGATTATCTAAAGAAATTCTTGTGTTGTACAAGGAGGAAGAAATCAATATGAAATTGTATGTCAGGACAAAAAGGTTGAAAGAAAGTGTAAAATTAAAAACAAAGTAGAGCTAGAAAATATTTTGCTTTTGGAAGTTCCTTAGTGTTTGATGACACTGATTCCAGCTCAAACGTAGCTCTTGAAATCTACGTGGGACCATGTGCTTAAGTGCAGGTACAGTATATTTACCTGTTTGCAGAAACAGAGCCTTTCTCTCAAGGAATGTGAAAACAGGAAAATTATCATGTAATTATAACCTTGTCAGTAAAACTATTGTTAAATGTTACTCAATTAAAACTCATAAAACAAACTAGAATGATGTACTATATCTTCTTAATCCTGATCAATATGCCTGCTTGTTTACAAGAAATTCTAATTAGAAATATGGTTATTACATTGCTTCCTTTTTCATTGCATTTTTCTTGTCTTTTACAGGAAAAAGTAGAATATGCCTTCCTGATAATTTTTACAGTTGAAACATTTTTGAAGATTATAGCATACGGATTATTATTACACCCCAACGCATATGTAAGAAATGGATGGAATTTATTGGATTTTGTAATAGTAGTAGTAGGGTAAGTAACATATTTCATAATGAAAAGATCTCAAAACCTTCTTCACCAAATGGTAGATACAGGTCTTTTTGGCTAGAGTATAGAATATAAGGGAAGAATTCAAAATCAAGTCCTAGGAGCTTTCAGGCTATAGGTGCTGTGGGCCATATTGCATTGGCTTTGTCAGAAGTTCCCAGTGACTTCTTCTGCCCCCCCCCAAAAAAAAAAAAAAAAACACGCCAGCAAGATGGATGTTCTCCAGATTTTGTCCTTTGAATATTTTTCTCCTGAGTGTTCCCTGATGATCCCTTTTGTCTTTCTTTATGAATAAAGGTTTATTTTGTTAGATCCAGGCAATGTTAGGTCCCCTTTTTTCCTGTGCTTGTAGTGAAGGTGGTGCAGAGTTTGGTTATTTTACATAGAGCTCTGGAAAAAACCACAGGCTGTGGAGGAGAATGGTCTGCGGAGAGCGAGTGGGACCGAGCGCTTCCTTGACCTTCCTGAGGTCTGACGTATAAGCTCAAGGCTTGCCTGGAGAAGAATTTATGCTAAAAATGCGCTGCACTGTTTTTTGTTGGCTGTTTTTTTTGTTTTCTTCTTCTCATCTCTGAACAACAGAATGAAGCCTGGAGGTTTTGTCCTGTTCCTCTGAGGAGGGGCTGCGCAGGCCTTATGCAGGTCATGGAAGCATGAGGAGTGCAATGTGCTGCCCTTGTACTGTGAATGTGCTTGTGATCCATGAAGCAGCTGGCTGTTTGTGCCAACAACTTTGGTTCAGTTACTGTGCTTGTTGACTACAACATCCTACCTTTAGCTATTAAGAGAATTAATCTTACGTATAGATTGTAATTCTGTAAATATGAAGGAGATAATATTGAAACAAGTATTTTACAGTACTGTAATGCTTAGTTAAAACATTTTGGATGTCTAATGGAATGTATTATTGATAGATAGTACATCCAGGACATTCTCTACAAGTAACTTTTGTGTTGTGGTTGACTTGCTGAGAAGACTTTGGCACATAATGTGCCATTCTAACTTTATTTTTAAAATCAAGCTGTAGCTAGAAAGGACCAGGAATTTGAGAGTTTACTGCCCTTAACATGTCGTTATATTAGGAAGGTAGAGAAAAGATACAAATTAAAGAAATTTATAGTAAAGCGTTATTAAATTTTGTGAAGTTTTATAAAATGTGTGAATGCCTAATTTATAAAAAATTAATTCTGAGATAGTAAAAGTTACCAAGAAGGTAGCATATAGGCTAGTTGCTTGGCAGTCAAGCAGTTCTTATCCAGGATAAAATTTGTACATAAATAGGTCCTTTATCGGGTCAAGTCATTCTCAACAGATTGGACTCTGTGCCTGAAGGGGAAGCTTGGTGGGTAGGTGTAGAGAGCACAAACAAAAGCTCTTTTCTCTTGCCAGGCAGTCACTTGAATTGACCTCTTACTTTTTGTCAAGTGACCATGGAGTTGCCATAACCCTGGAGCAGTCTAATTAACATGACCTCTATCCTTGGCTCTGTCCTAAATACATGATAACTAAAAAATTTCTGTTAACTCATAAAGCAGACATTATTAGAGGCTGAATTTAGTTATATGGAAAGCTTATGAAATGCTTGCACTGAATCCATAGAAAATAGAAAAAAGACTGTGTTTTATCAGATACTCAAAATACCACACTAAGATTTAAATCTTAGCTTAAGAGAGCAGTTTTGGAGCATGAATTATATTCTTGGCTGTCATCAGTCTGACTTGGAAGACAAGTGGTCCCTTTCTAAGGCACTGACTCAGTTCTATGATCAATATTCTTGCTCCTGCACTGGACTCTTTTAAGATAATTAGTAGAAAAACACATAAGCAAGTAAGCAAGCATGGATCCGTTTAATTAATCTGGAAGAGAAGGCCCAGTTCTGGATCTGATTCTATTTGACTAGTGTCAGTGTGAAATTTTATTGTGTATTTTTATAGCTTCAAAAGGGCTGCCATGAGGCCCTATACTCAGCATGGTAGATAAAATTCGCTTTGTGGGCTTTCTCAGCAGCTTTTTAGGTGTATACACATTTAACTTCTCATCTGTACTGAAATCTCAAAAAAAAAAACCCAAAAAAACAACAACAATACAAAAGGCAAGGCTCTGGACACTCTTAATGGATTTGTGGAGTTAGCATCAAATGACAGAGCTGTAGATGGAGCTGGGCATGTCATGCTTTTTTCTCCTTTGTCACATCTCTCTAAAACCAGTCAGAACATGAGTTACTTAAGGAACCTACCAAGTGCCTGGGCCTGCATTCTTTGCCACATCATTTTCATTGATTCCTGTGAAACAGTAAGAGACTAAAAGGGATGCTTTCACAGCCCTTTTCTATACCTGTAGCCCATTAATTCTCTGAATGATGTATGGACTGACAGCCTGAAAGTGGTTTCTCTTAATTCAGGATTGACTCAGAAGTCTGTTAGGTGATGTCTGCCTTTAGAACATGAACAGTCACTCTGAACTCATTGAGAAGGCTCATTTTTTTTAGAATTATGGTTCTGTTAAGTTAAGCTGTTGAATCAGGACCCGAAGAAGTAAATGCCAGGATTTCTCCAGCTACAACAGTAGGTGGGTTGCTGGACCGGTGTTCCTTCTGAGAGCCCTATCATTCTCCTTCCTTGTGGCTTCACTTCATTCTGGAGGAGAATGAGAAGGAATGATGATGATGGGAATTGACTGACTCAGATTGACTGCTTACTGGGGAAGAGGAAAGCCTTCAATAATCTACCTTGGGCACACTTTGAAAGGCTGCATGATTTCTAGCAACTCTGTCATGTTAGATATTCTATAACCAGAGTTGTGCAAATCTTTCTTGACAAAATCAAAAACTTGTATCTTTCAAGAGTCCTTTACAAGTATAAAGCACATGGTAACATCATCAATTTTTGACTTCATAATCCTTTCACTAAAAGTTCATTTTTACAAGTTAAGAAATATGTATCTGCAAGCTATAAGAGGCTGTTTGCCAAGGATAAAATAGTCAAAGCAGTTTGAATGGTCCAGACCTGCAGTCTTAAAACCATGCTACTTGAAATGCAGATCCTAAAATAAAATAAAACCCAAGATTATTTGAAATTTAACTGCTTGGGTCACTTTGAATTCCTGTTAAAAGTGAGAAAGAAAAATAAAATTCTTGTCTTCCAACTGTTTTAAATGAATGACTGGCTCATTTCTTCAGTCAAGAAATGCAATATATTAAGTGACTCATCTAGGAATATTTTTTATCCTCAAAGCTGTTATGAGTAAGAGATCTTTTGGACTTTATTAAATGTTGGACTCTAATTATTTTTAATGTATTCAGTTTTTGCTGACTATGTTTTAAATATTGAACTGTGGCGACACTTGGAGTTCATATATTCCATATAAATTAAAACAGATGGTTGCTTGTGACCTGCTAAAGAGGGAATAAATTAAAACAGATGGTTGCTTGTGATTATCAATTTCATGTTCTAAAGAGGAAGGCTAATTCTCCAAACCTTACATTTGAAATGCTTGAACAAAGAGAAGTGGCAAAGTAACTCATGTATTTAAAAATAGAAGAGACTGTGTACTAGCAGAATACTAATTTATTGGATACTGTGTGATCATCCCTCTCTGATGGGATTAGAAATTCCTGTACTTCATATCTCTTCCTGTTATGATTTAAAGCCTCAAGTATATGTGTCATTTTCACAGATGAAAAACATATAAGAATTATCTGCTGTTCAGGTAACTTATTAGTATCTTTGATTGCATGATAGATGCATGATAATGACCTTTCTCTTCATTTCCTTTTCTAGATTATTTAGTGTAATTTTGGAACAATTAACCAAAGAAACAGAAGGTGGCAGTCATTCAGGTGGCAAACCTGGTGGCTTTGATGTCAAAGCCCTAAGAGCCTTTCGTGTATTGCGACCTCTCCGGCTTGTATCAGGAGTGCCCAGTAAGCTCTTCTCTATTTAATTCAATTGGAGTTCACACTATAACGATTTAAATTATTAAACATTCTTGTTCCAGGCACGAGCATAAATGTAATACTATCAAGCTGGTTGTTGTTATGTGGTTATGCAGATAAAGTGAGTTTCAAGATGATTGGTATCCTTTTTCATCTCAGACTGGGGATTGTGAATTCATTCGGTGTATGATCTTCTTTCACAGTTCAGTAAGCAGACAAGGGAATGCACTTGATTTTTTGGAAGCTTTACGTAAAAGTAAATTGCATGTTAAAATGCATGTGCACCAGAAAATTCAAATTCAGATTTTATTTTTCACCAAAAATCCTGGAGATATAAAGGTGTAGGTGGTCCTAAAACAGTTTATATGTTGGTTAGTATATGCCAAAGCACATTACACATTTCATATTTGATAGCCCCTTTTGATACCACATAAATGCCTTCTGTTAATCTTGATATATCCAACAGATAAATTAAGAAACCTGAAAAGTAGAGCAATACTGTTTTAAAAAAAGCAATCGATTTTTCTATTTTTTTCTATTTTATTTCCATGCATTATTAATTACTGACATTATTTGTGCTGAACAAGTTCTTCATGGCTTACAGTTCAGCTCTTTTCAATAGATTTTGAGAGAAGAATCTTAACCCTGTGTGTATTACATCTATCTACTATGTGGAAATGGTTGTGATAGAAGGAAGCTTTCTCATGAAAAGCCAGGAAGGAAATAAATGTTTTTGAAAAAAAAAAAAAGCCATTTTTATTGTTGCTGTTAACATAATTAGTCTGGGATTTACTACTTTAGTAAGAATAAAAAATAACTAGATTTGTAATTAAGGGGAGAAGATGAGAAAACATGTTAGTCTGAAAAATGTGAAGAATAAATAACTAAAGTGTAAGTTTATTTAGCTTAAAGATGTATTTTCCCATGCAGCAAGATTGTAGATATCTTTCCAGGTGAAAGATACAATTCTGCATTTGTGTAAGTGTACCTATTCTCTGGACTTGTAAGAAAGTCACAGTTGTAGCACATGGCTTTTAAAGGTCATATGAAATAACCTGCAGCCACACACTGACTATAGCCTCTTTCTTTAATTAAAAAACAAACAAAACCAAAACACCTTCCTCCCCATTTCTCAGACACATTTCAAGCATTGTCATCTTCCACATAAGCCTTATTTAACTGAGGAAATAATTAAGTTTTGATATGCGTAAGTACAAAAGATTTTTTGATCAATATGAGACAAGGCATTGAAGTCTTGTTCATACCTTGTGTCTTTTTTTTTTCTTCCAGGTTTACAAGTTGTCTTGAACTCCATTATAAAAGCCATGGTCCCCCTGCTCCATATTGCCCTTTTGGTATTGTTTGTAATCATAATCTATGCTATTATAGGATTGGAACTTTTTATTGGAAAAATGCACAAATCTTGTTTTCTTATTGATTCAGGTAAGTCATGTTGCTGCTAACTATGCTAAGGACTTAATTCTTTCCTCTTTCAAGTCACAATGATGCAACCAAAGCATTTGGTTTCTGAGTTTCGAAGGACTGAAATGTTGTGAGGGAGAGGCCTTATTCGAAGGGTAAGGCTAGCTTCATTATAGCTAAACTTGAAATGAATGGACTAAAGGTAGGCATTAGCCTAGGACCCTTTCATGGTGAAAGGAAGGAATATGTTAATTTGAGGTGTAATGAAGGGAAGAAAGAGCAGTGAAAACAAAGTGAACAGCCAGGGAGGATTCTAAAGTAATTGTTATATTGTATTATTACAACTGTAATCATATTTCTTTTTACTGTTTAACTACTTGAAGTATTTTGTGTTCTGATTTTTTTTCCACACATAAGAGTTAATTCACAAAAACTTGAGTTCTGAGTGTGCGTGCGTGTTTGTGTCCTTGTCAATTTTCAGATATACTAGTTGAAGAAGACCCAGCCCCTTGTGCATTCTCAGGGAATGGACGTCAGTGTGTCATGAATGGCACTGAATGTAAGGGTGGATGGGTTGGACCAAACGGAGGCATAACCAACTTTGATAACTTTGCATTTGCAATGCTGACTGTATTCCAGTGCATAACCATGGAAGGATGGACTGATGTGTTATACTGGGTAAGTAACCTCATAAAACATTGAGCTTTGGCTATTCTTAAATAAGCTTCAATGCTCAGATGAGAAATAAACTATTAACACCATAAACAAGAAATCTTGGTGAGTTTTGCAGTAAAGGAGCCCAGCTGCCTTATTCTTCCAGTCACATCATCTTAGTGGATTCCTCAGGCTAAAAAGACCCTTTAGAAACAAATTATTCACTGCTTACTTGGTATGTGATTTTTTTCATGTGTGTGTTTTTGCCTATTCCATTTGGATAAATATTATATTTATGTCCTTCGAACCAGCATGTTTCATGCAAGCCTACAGTTCTTAAGTATGTCTTTTCTGATTAAGCTTAAGAGCTGTCTTTTTGCAAAATTTTTGTAAAATATTTCACAACATTAACATAAATTAGACCCAGACGAGCTCTCAGCTGTCATTGCTTGCCTTGAGAACCAAAAAATATTTGTTAAACACAGAAACAAAAAAGCTCATAAGATTTGCTAGCCCCACATTGTTTCCATGGAAGTGGCAAAAGATATTCAAAGGCTTCTGCTGCTTGTGTAAGCCCCTACCTTTAAATACTACTTTAGCATCAAGGTATGAGACTGCCATGATCTTGCAACATAGCTGGAGTGGGAAAGCACAGATATCCATCCTCATTTTATAAATATGAAATAGAGAAAAAGAACACATAGACTTTTAAAGGTGCACCTAAATAGGCGCTTTGGCTAGCTGTGTTCCAGTCAAAGGGCATTAGGTGCCTATGTGTGTATTTAAGCACTTATATATCTGATGTGACTTGTCCAAGTGCATACTGGAAGTCTAGGCCAGAATCAAAAATTGAACCGCAAAACTCTGGATTTCTGATTTTCCTAATATAATTGCAGAAAATTAGTGTGAGTATTTTGTGCTTCTTAGTACTCAGCAGTAAGTCTTTGCAGCAATCAGGGCCTTATAGCAAATATAACTCTAATGGTTTGAATACTGGAAAATTATTATGAAAGAAGAAAACTGCCTAACTTCCCTATAAGGAAGCTGTTAAAAAGGGATGAGCTATCGCAAGATTGGTGAAGTTTCTATCAGCACCACCCCAGAAAGACCAAGTACTCTGGTAATTGTCACAGTCAAACTATTTTGAAAGAAAGCTCAAAACTGAAAAAACTGCACACCTGAATTATTTCATGTATTTCTCTTTAGTAACTTCCCAAAGGCATTTTAGATGCAAAGATGCCAATATTCATTCAATTTCAATAATGCTGTAAGGTAATGCAAGTCAGATATCCTACCTACTTTTGAATCTCTCTTAACATACATTTCTATAATTAAGTTATGGACCTGGATTCTTTCAGTAGTTTGCCCATTGTCAAGTTGACTTCATTGGACAGGATAAATGATGTTTTACATCCCTTGAAGTAAATTTAGCTTCCTCCCTTCAATCCCTTGAAGTAAATTTAGCAGTTGTTAGCTAGTTATCGGAAAGATTTAGTTTCAGTAATAAAAATATTAAGAATATATCAGATTTTAATAAAACAGTTGAAGAATCAAAGGAAGCCTTATATATGTGTATATATAGATATGTGCACACGTATATTATACATATACACACCCACAAGTGTAAGGCTTTTGTGTTATCTCCCCTACGTTGTATTAGAAATTGTTGATGAGACCCATATAGGATGAGCTTTAAGCAAAATATAAACGCAAATACTAGAAATGGCACAAGATTCTTATTTCCATTAGTTCACTATGTGAACAGTAAAATAAGCTATGTAGGCTTGCCTTGCTAGCAGGTGTAAGCTGAGTGGGTGAAAAATGTGCAATATTTTGTGTCTTGTTATGTGGCATTCTGCTAGCAAGAATGAGAGCTGAAAGTGACAGCTTCCAGGAGCTCTCACTAGCGCAGCTCCTTAGCACCTGGCCAGCAACAGTAAACTCTGCTTCAGAATTCCCCAAGCTTCAGTACTGATTTTCCTCTTCTGAACACCCAGTATGGACTGTAGACCTGATCCTGCTACTGCTGGGCATCCTTTGGATTCTGGTGACTGCATTGGACATTCTGCTACCTGCCAATTTGCATCCAATTCCCATGTGTCTGGCCACTTCTTTAATCTATCGGCAACCCACAGCCTAGTGTGTAGTACATACTTCATCTATTGAAAATCTGAATTTTATTGGCAAATTCTGAACTTGCAATATGAGGTTAAGGGTTAGTGTCCTTGCTGTTCTCACCAGCCAGTGCAGCATATGTATTCCAGAGGAATGCAATATGTTTGTGGATGCACATCTGTGCATCTCCATTTATATCAGGCCCCTGTTGGCTCCCAGTCAGATCGCTGTCTGTTTGCTCTCTAGCTCCAGCTGCAGCCCTGTGCCGTTAGCTTTGGAGCCCAGTGCAGCCCTTGTGCTGGCAACACGGCAGCTCCCCTGTACCTGAGCACTTTAACATTCTAGCTCACATGCTAAAGCTGAGAGGTTAGTGGTCTTTGCCTCCTCTTCAATTTACCTTAGCACTCAAAAATTACAAAATCTATTAGAGTATTAAATTATTTTTCTCCGTAGTGGTGGTAGTTATGTACATGCTAACTATTGTAGCTTAAAGTAGAGGCTGCCTCTTGTGAGAGTCAAGCTGCTTGGCATGACAGATCATTAGCAGAGATGCAGTTATACTAGCAGGCCTTTCTAAGTCACTGTCATTCCCCTGAAAGCACCAGTCAGGTTTATCTAGTGATTTTTTAGGGCAGAAGAGGGGTGGGGGGATGCACCCTCAGGCTTGCATTGCCAGGTAATGGAACATGCTGTCTTAGATGCTCTTGCCTATTAATGCAAATACTATTTTTTTAACAAGATATTCTCTCAAGGATGCATACTAGAAGTATACCATTCCTTAACAGAAATGACTGACTTAATTTTTTTTTTTCAAAATATCAATAATCAAGAAATCAAATGATCATGACACTTTTTAGTATGTTCTGTTCTTAAGAATCTTGAAGGACAGCCTACTAAAAAGAATTGTTAGGGAATATAATACACTTGAAAGAACAAACAAATATTTTGCAAATATATCTCATAAGACCACCCTCTGACTGTGCACAAAGTGTACTGTCAGCCCATAAGAAAATTCTTCAGACAGCATTTGAGGCATTATCCAAATTGTCGTCAGGTGATAAGCAGGAATCTCTTATGAAAAAAAAAATCAAAAAAATACAACTAACACTCTAATAAACACCAAAATTCTAAAATCTTGAATTGAATGATCTAGAGATAGATTGAGCTAAGTGATATTAGAGAGCTCCAGGAAGGAATGGCTGCTTATTGAATCCAAACTGTACTTGTCAGCAAGGAATTTCAGCTTGTATTCCGACAGAAGTCAAAGGATGCTTGGCAGTCCCTTGCCCTTGTGTAGATTAGCTGCAAATCTTCAATAGACAACATGAAGATATTTGAGGGAATATGCTGGGGAAATCTTACAAAATTTTGATTTCTGTATGCATTTGCTGGTTATGTAGTGAGACTAGCTTTAATTCTTCTCTGGGTATCTGTCATCATGGCTCCCAGGTCATCTAAGGGAGTCTCGAGTGAAACAAGGCAGTTCATCCCCAAAGGCACTGCTGTGCTCGCTGCGTTGTACTCCCAGCCTTTGATGACTAAGTAACCAGAAATTTAACACACGATATCCAGCTAGAGAAAGAGCAATAGAAATTCTGGATGACAGTATATTGCATAAATCACGCTTAAGAGCTATGAACTTGATTTTTTTGAATTTTGGGTGTTGATCACTTGAATTCAATTTCATGTTAAAATGTAGCTTAAAAGAAGCACCTCTAAGGTAATGATTTGGACCAAACTTTCCTTTTTTTTTTTTTTTATTCATCTTTCAGAAATAAATGATTATACGCTATAGTAGCTAACAGCAGTTAAAAATGATTGAAAGATCTGTTTGGGTAGATAAAAGCAAATTAATAAAACTGAAGCCATTTCTTACAAGATTAACTTGAAGGGCTCATCTCTGTGTGTATTATACAGAACATGACATATTAAGTGTGTTTACTGATGATGGAGGCCAAGTTGAAAGTTGACTCGTTATGAGGCTGTAGTTACTGTAAACAAATTTTTCCACTTCTTCAGGGGTTGTATTTCTCTTTAGCTAGCCTTAATGCTCCAGCCATAGAGTTGTTTTACTAATTGCCGATGAGCTGAGATGCTTAACAGAGCAGTGATCCAAGAGTTCACACACAACTAGTGCACATCTGGGCATGTGTCTATGTCAGAAGAAGAATAAAAGTGAGCCTGGTGAACCAGGAGAGCGCCAGGGAATTTATGCTGCAACTCCAGAACCCACAGAAGAATGAAGATAAAAGCACATGTTTTTACAAACCAGTCTGGAGGCTGCTATGCTTCAAGCACAGCCCCTTTTAAGCCTGCTTTAAGTTAACTCCACTTCAGCCAAGAATATATCAGGACACAATCTTTGAAGCTAGCAGACTTTGAAAAGCTGCCTGGTATGCTGTAAAATGAATAGAATGAATAGTTTGTGATCTAAGGGTTTGTTAATCTACGGTGCAGACTTGAAAGAAAAAAAAAAGCAGTAAAGCAGGATCACTCTAATTTCACAGAACACTGATTTCTGAAGGACCCCTCAAGAGACTGAGTTTGTAATTCTTAGTCATTTTAAGATGTTGCCAGAGATGTCCTTTCACTCCTGTGAAACAAAATTAAATGATATGAAAAATACTCATTTTGTCTTTCCTAGCATCTAACCTGTTGTTTGGTGACATAACATGCAAACTAAGAAATGGAATTAAAACATTAAATTTGGAAAAGACACAGAGAAGGGCAAGAGGGATGGCACATAGGAACGTGTTTGCGATAGGCATTAGAGATGTAGTACATCAATGAGCCAGGGCTGGTGGGATTTTTGCAAGGCTTTTGGTTTGAGGATTTGAGACTTCATATGTGCAAGACAATTTAGTTTTATTTATAACATATTTTAAGGAGTTTTATTGTTTTATGCTTCTTAGTTCCAACTTACAATGGATCTAGAATTTGTTTCCATTTAATTTCTTATTCTGTACTTCAGGTGAGAAGTTAGCATTAATCTTTTCAACTGAAATGCCTTGTTTCTGAGGAGAAAGATCTTTCTGTGGTCACATACTAATTAAACTGCTTCCATTCTCAATCAGAAGATAAACTGATTTCTTTAATCTTTCTGTAGTTGATATTTATGGAAAATACCTCTTAGTATCCCTGAAATTAATATTAAAGTTTTCCAAATGGATATGGCTTCTTTTTACACTATCACCTCCCTGGTATTACTGTAATGAAAATATTATTCATAGTACAATGCATTATTTGATTAGAATTTAAGTATCTAGATTGGAGTAGTAAATATCTCCAGCTTATTTTTCACACAAACATTCCATTGTAGGGTTGGATAGTGGAAACTTGATGTCCTTTTAAATTGAAGGCAATGATTCTTGTCTTTCCAAAAGGCTGTAGCCCTACTCCACTTGAATTTCTCCCAAAATACAATTTCATTGAAATTGAGGGGAAAACATCCAAATCAAATACACATTTTTAGTTTTTTGGCTTTTTCCTGCAAGTCTAATAACTGTAGATTACTTCTCCATGCCTCTGTAAATTACCAAGGCCTTGTAATAGATGATATACATAGGGATTATTTTAAAAGAAACATGAAGACTGTGTATTAACCATCTTTTTTAGTGCTTGGAAATACCAGTTTAGTGTAAAATAGTGGGTGTCATGGCAGCTCACCATGGAAGGAAAGTATCTGTGGGCCTTAACCTGCAAAGACTTAATGCGTGTACTTGTATCATCATGTATATAAAGAAGTATTGTTTGTCAGATGTTTGCTCCCGTATTTACAGTGGGACTGTATGTTCTAACAGAGCTGTTAAGGACTGAAGTTGAACTTGATTCATGTGTTTACAAAAAAAAAAGCAGAATTGCAAACTCGAGATGCAACATACAGATATACAGTGACTTTCACAGAAGAGGAAAAAGCTCGTCCAACTTTGTCTCAAAATAATATATCGAGTCTGTAATCCTCACATCATTTTTAGGTCTGCTGAATTTCCTGGCTAAAAAACAGCTTTAGAAGAATCTAATGCCAACTTGCCCATGTAATGAAAAAAAAAAAAAAAAAAAGCCAGAATAATTCCCCTCTCATAAGAGAAATGTCCAAGAGATTACAAGTCAAAAGTGACTGGTAACTTATGAAATGCCTTTCATACACCAACCGTCTTCTGTGCTTCAAAATTTCTCTCTCCTTTTTTTTTCCCTCTTTCCTGAATAGGGCTTTTTAGATTTCTCTGTATGTTTCTTAAATCCCTGATATGTGTAATGAGCTTCTAAGAATTGACAGTGGAAAATGTCTTTATATAAGTTGTGCGAGTGTATAATAATATACTTAAAGATCACTCATTTTAATCTTATATAAAATATGCCAGGGACAACTTTATTTTGGTATAATTTTGGTTCAGAAATTTTTCTGGAATATTGACTTGTATCCACTATATTTCTAAAAATTGATTTTAGTTTTTCATTTGCATTCATGTTTTTGTACAAATGAATTCTCATGTTTCTGTTGTGATTAATAAACTAACTGCATACAAATTTAGTATTTCAGGAAAAAATTATTGAAGTTTTGGTTACAGAAAAAATAGTATTACTTGTACTGTTGAGATATATTTCTGCCACTTCTCAAAGGATCATTCATATAGCTATGTAATCTAAAATTCTAAAATTTCAGTATACGCTGTGTCATTTAATTGAACAATATTTCAAATTCAGCTATTTTACTAGAAGGTAAAGAGCAGAATTGTTGCTGTGCTAATTTATGTTTGTATTTTTAATCTGAATGCTACGTTGCCTCATTTGTTTTCCTTTTAGGACATTTATTAGGAACACAAAGTAAATGTCGTCAGTGCCTTTGCTTATATTGTTCTTTAATGAATACTGAAGGAATGCGTAGAACGCTATCTCACCTGAATGATTAAATTATTTTTTCTCTGACTCTTCATTACTATTACTACAGTGATCTACTCTATAAGATCATCTTATTTCTTGCAGATGAATGATGCTATGGGATTTGAATTGCCATGGGTGTATTTTGTCAGTCTCGTCATCTTTGGGTCATTTTTCGTACTAAATCTTGTTCTTGGTGTATTGAGCGGGTAAGCATACACCTTTTTCATCATGAAGGCAGAGTCCTGAATACAGTTGCCATGAACACACAGGTTATCTTATACAGGTGAGACTTCAGTTGTGATGACATTTCTTAATGAAACTCATTTTCTTCCTCCTATAATTAAAACAGAAACAGTTTTCTGTAGCTTTCATGAGAATAACAGATAAATGCCAAAATCTTTTAAATATACACATATTTAGCATATATTCTTCGTGTCTACAATTGTGGCAAAATGATGAAAAAGACAGGTAATTCTGCTATACTTAAATATGTTAATTTGTATCTTCTGTTATGAGGCATTACATATGCAACTTAATCTGGTAAGTAAAGAAATTAAATGACAGTGATTTTAGGAATGAAGTAAGCCAAAAGTTTCAATGTTGAAACCTACGTGATCTGGCAGCTGCAAAAAGGACTCTGCTGTTTAATGAATGACTGTATCATAACTTATTTCCTTACATTTTACAGGTAAATGATGCAATAGGATGTGAATGGCCATGGATCTATTTTGTTAGTCTTATCATCCTTGGCTCATTTTTCGTACTTAACCTGGTTCTTGGTGTACTTAGTGGGTAAGCAGTTGAGTTAACATTGTGCCTGCTACTGCTATTTGTGAGACGGCCTCTGCATTTACTCCAGCTTCTCAGTGATGGCTTTTCTGCATGCACTTGAGATTTTTATGTCATCTTACCAATGTTTGCTCTTTTGACTGAACCGTGTGATCCTAGTGCCTGTATCCGTCTGACATCACATTCACCATGCTTGCCAAAAATTGTCCTTAGAGACACTACTCTTCTCATTGTTTAATATTCTAGCAGGGAGAAACATAAAGCACTCAGTGTGAGATGGATGGCACCTCTACGAACATTCCCCACTTTAGTTATAGATCAATGTCCTTTACTGAAAGCTCAACTTACACTTTTGTACATAGATAAGGCAGAGTGTTATTTGTATTTACTGCTCATGTATCAAAATATTTTTAAAGAGTGTTTCAAGGCCTTACAGAGAAAGTGTGACTGGGATACCATGAGACAAATTGTACAGTGTTTCCCATACTGCTGAGCTGGCTACTGTTGGCTCCAATTGATTAAAGTAGGAGCTAAGATGACTTAAACTGGCGAGCAGATGTATTGATCAGTAATCAAGTGACAGTGCAATACACTTGTCAGCGGCAGAAGTTGTCACAGCAGTTTCACTCCAGCCAAGAGCCGAACTGATGGCAGTTGTAGCTGTACATCGCGACTTAGAACTGTAATTTAGGGCAACAATTTGCAAGCTTTTATTTTTACATAATCCGTTTTGAGGTCATGGCTATTTCCTTTGCCTTTTCCTGGTTACTCATTTTGGATTTAGCTTCAGTTTGTGGTAAAGATATTTTCTGATAAATAACAAAAAAATCCTGCAAGCATTTGAGTCCTTAACAGAAAATGCTATGAGTTATGAAACATTTGACATTGCTGTAGCAACCTTAGAGTATCTGTGCCGCCTTTGCAACCAACAGAAAAACCTCTCTTGCTTGCAATAAAAGCAGCCTTACAGCTGATGGTGTCATCAAACTGCTGATAAGGGTGCACAGCCCTTTCAGGGCTTTGCCCTGTCTTGGAGTGAAACCTGTTATAAGGTCTTATTCTATTCTGGGGAACCAGGCAATCAGAAACAAAATTTTCAAGTGCTGATAAGATAACTATATTAAGGAGGCATTTTTATCTAATAAGAGGCTCTACAGTGTGTTTTTTTGACTCACAAGTCATTTATCTTTTATTATTATTACTCTTAGGACACTAGGGAAATTATGGTCTTTGGTTACCTTATTGTCAGAATTACTTTCCAAATAGAATGTTTAAAAGCAGAGAGAGAGATTGCTAAGAACACTGCTGATTTATGGATTTAAACTTTCTTCTGCAACCAGCATCCACCCTGTAAAGGCCTATTTACACAGTTAAATTAGCTTTGTTTTATATATGGGCAAATGTGCGTATTGTTGCAAAATAATGGTCCAGTTTTCGTGTCTAAAACTACACTGAACGAAAAGATCAACAAGGTTGGTTGCTGTCTAGTTTATCTCTGTAGTTTTGATCCTGTCTCCTAACATAGTCATTTGACTAGATATCCCACTGAAGTCACCAGAGAGTTAGATTTTCACAGTTCGTTTTGCCTGACACTTAAGCAGGTTATAGGCAGCAATTAATTTTTTTCCTGTTGCTGCGAAGGTGTGGGAAAAGTTGGCTAAGTATTTCCCTTCTTTCTGGGGGTAATTCCAGTTTTTATGTTTGGAGGCGCACATTCATTTCCTCCAGTGAAATCTTAGAAATTTAGAGAGATCCTCATATATATATGTATATATATATATAATATTTAAAATATTTTCAAGGATTTCCAATATTATAATACTTTAGTTAGATGTTTTGACTGCATAGTGTCTGTTTTTTAATCACATGTTTTTAAGAGCCATTTTTACATGTACAAACAGACATTACAGTAGAGGTTTTGAATGCATTCTTTCACGGTTGCATTATATTTAGTGATCCACAGGTCTTGAATTGAATTTTAGGGCATCAGTGCTGGTACTATTTTGAGAACTTTCCCTTGTTCCCATTTTCTCAAATTCATCAAGCAAAATTTATTGAAATATGGAGCTATTCTACAGCCACTGCTATAATGCAAAGCAGGAGGTGCTTGTTTATCCTTTGATTCCATTCTGTGGATGAGAAATGACCACTGATTTCTAAATATTGCTTGATTCATAAATCCGGATCTTTCTCTTTTGAGTCGTTGCCCACTTGCTATCGATTTTCAGTGAACTTGAAAGGTGGTGGCAGGTATCATGTGATCTCTCCTGAAATTAATTTTCTTGCACATTGTCATGGAACTGCAGTGTCATTTTAGCACTTGGAAAACTTGTGGAATGTCAGAATCAGTGCTTGTCCCAAACATGTGAGAGGGCCTTCCCAATATCCAGTTTGTGATTTCTGTCTTGAGGGGAAAATGATGCAAGTGAAATGGATTGTTCATGATAAATAGTGATAAATACCACCAATGATTGCAACTGAACACGTAGAAGAAAGGAAAAGATAATTTTCCTCTAAGACAGCTATTGTACTATGCTAAAGTTTGGTACACAAGGAAAGAAAATGTTCTGGCCTACTTGTTTGAAACTGTCAGGGACCAGTATGGAATGCTGTTACACTGATTTATTTTGATCACTGAATGTCTTTATATATAAATTCTAAATGTTTTCCACATGAATTCTGTTTAGACAAACTGTCTAAATTCTACATCTGAAAACTTGTGCTAGTTAATGTGTTGGTATTGTCATAAAGCTTTTTTATTTATTTTTTTTTTGATTCTGAACAAGGCATAGAATGTATAACACATGCATTCTTTGCTTTTATTTAAAAGCTGTTAACTTCTACATTTTATGCTTTTCAAACCATACCATGAAACTTGATTCATGGTAAATTGACAAAGCAAGTCAAATTTTACTAAACAAATTAAAGTCTGAGGATGCAAAAGTGTGCCAGCTTACCTGAAAAGCATGTCTGTGCATACAGATTTTGGAAGTAGAATCTGAATGCTTAATATACACCTTTTTCCTATGACAATAATATTTCTTGTAGCGTTACCTTATGCTGCATATGTTTGAATCTGTCTGCTGTTTTGATCTGTTTGCTGTTTTAAAATATTCATTCTCTTTGCACTCCTGTGGTACTCCGTGGCTGTCTGCCCCTTTGTATTTCTGTACTGCCTCCTGTGCATTGCATGTTTGATATATTTTATAGTGCATTGATGATTTGGGAGATCTTTTATCTTACATTTAGCCCTTTCTGAAGGTGAGTATTTTCTGGTGATCAGTGATGTCAGTCCCAGTGATGCTAGTTTTGTCTGTGTTAGGAGATATTCATAAAAATTCAGTTCATATCTTTAGTAGTAGATGCGTAAAATAACAGAAATAATGTTTGTGTGGAATCTGTATCTAGTAAATATTCTAATTTTAGATGGAAGTTGACAGGTTTTTTTTCTTCTAAATATTCCATTTATTAACAAGGATGAGGAAAATTGATGGACTAAAGATTTTATCAGTATAAATTGTTTTCAAGGAATTCACCTTATTCAAAATATTACATTTTTAAATTTTCATATTAAACACTCATTCATGTTATTCTCAAAGTGAATTCTGAAGTTTAAAAAAAAAAAAAGACGGCAAACCAGTTCTGTTTGCAGTGCTGTACAGATAGGGGAAGTCTAGACACCTAAAGATGTGATTTGTGCTGCTCTAGAGGGTGGAGGCATCTAGAAAAATCTGTCTCTGGACACGGTACTGGAAAAAGGAAAGGATCTCTAGAAAGGGTCTGTAGAATTGGCTCTAGTCTCTATAAGCTCAAAGGTGAGTGGCCTCTAGAAATAGATTCAGCTCCAGAAATAGCTCTAGTCACAGCTCTAGTGAAAGGCTCTGGAGAAGATTGTCAGGAAAGGGTCTGGATACAATTTTAGAAAAGGCCCTTATAGAAAAAGCAAGAGCCCAGGAGTGTGTCCATTCTAATTCTGAGCATCTTCAAGGGAGGAGATTCTACAATGTCTCTGGACAACCTGCTCCAGTGCTTGTCTACCAGGCTTATGCTGAACCACAAAAAATACCGTGAGCAGAAATTGGGACATGACAGCAGGGTTCCAGGATATACCAGGATAAAAGACCAGAATGTAATATAATCGCCATCAGTACAGAAGATGTTCAGCTCAATTATCTTAGGAATTAGAAAGTTAGAGGTTATCTCTTAAAAAAAATAAATAAAGAAAATAAGAGACGAGCATTCATAAAAACCCACCAACCTTGAAAGTATCTTTTAAAGTGCTTGAAACTTAAAATAAATTTGTCAGTAATTCAGTATACATTAAACTTTTCTACTATGAAAAGAGAAAAAAAAATGATGAAACTTCATAATATATTTTTCAAGAGGCATGCCTTTAATGGTACATGATAATCTATTCCTCAAGACAGTCCTTATCATTAGAAGCTGGTTTCCACTGACAGCCTTTTCTCCTGAAGGCATTAGTACTTCTTCGGGTAGCCATGGGAGCAAATAAGATCTTTCAAATATACTTTAATAAATCTCTATAAGTTGAATTACTTCCTCGCTAAAGGACACTAAAGCGTAAGTTTTGACATGTCCTTATATACATCCTCCTACGTATAAGTCTTGTCACTTACTAAGAGATTTTTCCATTTCAATCTCACAATATTATTTGCAGTATACATATATGATGATCCTAAAAGCTAAGAGCACACACTCATCTATGCTAATCTCACCAGCCATATACATTAGTCAATGTAAGGTAAAATATGTTAGTGCAGATAAGATTATATACCTAGGAACTGTTGTCTGCATTATATGTGGGGGAAAAAAAACACTGAGATAATGATGCACAAAGTAGAAAATGGCAGTGAACTGTCATTTCAGCAAAAGGGAAAGGAAGGTTTTGACAGCATTCCTTTTCAAAGGAGAGGGAAGGCGTAGTCCAAAAAGAGTAAATAAATAAAAATTCAACTACCTGATATGAATAAACATAGTATACATTAAAAAAGAGGGAAAGGAATTCAGCTGTAGAACTCAGTAGATTAAGATCTAAAGTGGATTCTTTTGATTGCTGTGTGGCTGGCAAAAAGAAAGCTCAAACGCACACAGATGTGGAGAGAAAAAAAAAAAAGGAAACAGTATTCTTGCTGAATTAAACACTGACGAATAATTTGGAAAACACTTTTGGACTTGAAGGGAACTCTCATTTCATGTCCTGTCTGTGCCCACTGCACTGGGGTTTCTGAGGGATGGGTTCCTGTGAAGTACTGAGCAGCCCCTGGCAGATAACAAACCACAACAATTTCCAAAACTGGACAAGTGCCCATCACAGTGGTAGGGCTGGAGTCTGTGGAGTATAGTCTTACCCTGAAACATTCATGTTTTGAAGTGAATGCTTTCCTGTTGCTCTGAATAAATGAGTCTAGGCTGTCTGGGTGATGGTTCTGCCTGCAGTGTGATCATAACCTTCTAGTAGTCAGTGAGCAAAAAACCTCAAGGGTATGCTTTTGAATAAGAGATTCAAGTGTTTTTTGTCAAACAAGACTGAAATACTTGTTACGAAATTGGCCTGTAGCATAGGTGCTTGTGAAACTGAATATTTATGCAGCTTAAGGCTAGTAATTATAATTAATGTACAAATTCCCAAATGTGTTGGCTTCATAAGCTTGTGAACTGGGTTGATCATGGTCAGGAAGAAGGAAGGCCAGTCTAACTTGTCACTGCTCTGGTGCCTAGATAGCCAAAAGCTTTTTGCTTCTGCCCAGGACGGAGCTAACGCTCCATAGCCAAGAAGTGCCACCTTTGCTCCTGCTCCCAGGAGAAAGCCAGTGCACTTGTCTGCATACCTTTGTCAGCAACCAGAAAGAGGCTCTGTCATTACTTTGTCTCTTCACTGGTACCTTTTCCGATTAACTGTTTGTTTCTTAGAAAAAAATGCTTTTGTTCTACAAGCAGAATAATATTTAATCTCTAACCGTCTTTACTTCTGCTTTCACATAGTGTATAGATGTTTAAAAAAAATACCATAGCGCCAGATTCCTCCCTTCCAGGGAGAGCAGTTGAATATGCAATCTTCTCAGATGTGTTAGAGATCCTAAAGAAAAGCTTTTAAAAGTAAAACTTACAAACACTGTGGGAATTAAGCACAACTGCATCTTTCCCTGCCAATAAATTGCAGCAGATTTTTACTGAGAACATTTGGCTTCTCTTTTGTATTAAAAGAAAGGCAGTAGTTAGCTGCATATATAGAAAACTATATCGAATTCTTGCATACAATGTTTTAATAAAAAGCTAAAGTTAAAAGGGGGTTCAGTCATGGGTGAAGTGCTATTGGAAGTAGTAACCATGCAAACTGTTTCATTTTTAAATGATTTTTTTACTTCAGTACATATAATAACAGTAGCTTTCATTTGATTTTACCCACACAGATCTTATTCACTCTAG